TTATGATCTTGTAACACACACAATTAGTAAAAATTAGTAAATTGTTTTAGTTGTAAAATACAGCAAGTATTATAGACACAATTTGCAAGTCACTCAGTGTATTTAAACACTTGCTGTTAAGTAACCTTTAAAGGAATTCCTTTTGACATTCATTGGGTCTATACAGTTAGACATATGAACCCAAGCAGTATATGAGTTATACTGTATATGACAAAACAAAGTTTATGTGTTATTTCTTCTACAATTTTCTGCTAGAATGAATATCAAATAATGATGAACAAGCAACCTTATTTTAGCCAATGTATAAAGTTATAAACATCACAGTCTGAAAATTGTTAATTTATGTCTTATCTTACCATTCATTTTTGGAAGGAGCAAAAATAGAGAAAATGAACATCCCATTCCCGATCACAAGCGATGATTCTATAGTTGAGACGTATGAAGACTTTTTAACGAAACACCCGGATGTTAAACTTGCTGTTATAGGTACCCACATATTATTTATATATACATGCATACATAATACATGTCAAGAAAACGTGTCAAGTAGCCATAGTAATATCTACAGATTAAAACAATTCGATAAAAATATTGTACATGTATTAAGTTACTTTTTGGTTTTTGTCATCTTAGTGTTTTAAATCGAGATGGAAATGAGGTCCTTGGTGCAGAATGAAGCTGAACTTGTAGACCTAGTTCTTTCTTCTTGAGGTCCGAATTCCACAACTGACATTTAGATAAAGTTACACTAAAGTGACATTTAAAACATGGAGCTCGATTAAAGTGATTGTGCAAAGGTTACTTTTAAAACAGAAACTGTGTATAAGGTAGTTATTCCCACAAACCAGCTAGACACTAGAACGCAACTAGGAGAGGCACTGGCACTCTTCTTCTTTAGGGATAGGAACAAAGTGGTCGAAATACATTTACTGTGTGTGTATGTGTGATCTGCCAAATAGACCTGTTATATATCTAACTATAACATGTTTATATGAAATAATTTTACAGATCATATAACCAGTCCAACGTCTGTTATCATGCCAGTGAAACGTATCACCGAGGTGTGTCACAAACACGGTGTTGTTGTTGTCGTGGATGCCGCTCATGTTCCGGGTCAACTTAAAGTTGATATACAAGACATTGATGCTGACTTTTATACGGGTATATGCATTAATATTGAGCCGCGTCACGACAAAACCAACATAATGGGCTTGCGACCAGCATTTTTGTCGTGACGCGGCTCACATTATCTTCCGTGGCCGACTTGGTATGGCCGTTGACTTCAAACCATTTGTCTCTCACCGTCGTAGGTTCGAGCCGCACCAGCGTCTTCGGATTCTTCACGTGAGAAAGCTATCCTGCCGGCTTATGGAACGTCAGAAATTGTACCCAGTTGTCCGCTTCTGGCTGAAAACATGTACAGAGGGGCACTTGAGGATTTCCTCCACCAGTAAACCTGGGAAATCGCCATATGACATATACTGTGTTGAGGCAACGTTTAATTAAACCAGGAAAAAATAGTACCATTACTTTGCATAACTTGTCATAGTGACAATGTATTCGGAACTCTTCGCCAATTATAGTATTTTCTATTGAAATATGAATGAAATGCCCTCAACTTTGCGTTAAGCTAAGAATATGCTTAAACATCAATTAACGATTATCAATCAGTCAATCATAAAATATAACTAATTGTTTCTAAATCAGTTCATAACTACGGTTTCATATCAATTTTCTTTGCCTGCTTAAGTATCTTGAAATATATGTGTTTTATGGCATTAACTTTATTTCAATTAACTCCATTTGTATGTATGTTTAGAAATAAGGTACTGTCTATTTAAGGTAATCTTCACAAATGGGTTTTCTGTCCAAGATCGTGCGCATTTATATGGATGAACCCGAAACGCCACCATACATGGTTTAAACCCCTTGTAACATCAGCGTTTGACAATGACTCTTTACACGACGGATTTGCTTATGAAGGTTTTTATATTTTTGAAAAAAACCCCAAAAAAACCCCCCCAAAAAACAACATTTAAATATATTTTTCCATGATTGCCTTATGTCTGACTAAATAGATTTTTCATTGTATGATTACAGTAGAATGCTGTATCAACTCAGTTACTGCATTTTTATTTATTTTCGTTCATGAAAATTTATAATTGATTTGCAAAATTTTTAATGGTATTTAAGTTATTAAAAATTAAAGACTTGAGATATAAAGGCTGCCAAAGATCAATATTATTAACTAGCTGTATTGTTTTAACTTATAATAATAATAATTCGTGCTTTGAAGATTACTTATTTTATAACGTATAATTCTCATTTAGGTACAAAAGATGATACTCCATACCTGTGTACTACTGACGGAATTGCCTACTATAACCGAATTGGCGGAATGGTATGTCTAAATAGTTGAACACTGCTGAATATTTTCTTTACTGTCTTATACAGAACATGTTTCAAATCATGTCTGAAATAATTCACAATTTATTTAAAGAGGACAAAACTAAAATTTCATCACAATGTGTAGCATACATGTGCATCTTTGTCTACGGTGTTTCTTTCCCAGTAAAATATTTGTTTAAATTAAAGCAGCATGCCTCCAGATTCATGATTTTTTTGAAAATGTATTAAAAAGTAACATATTGAAGTAGACAAAGAAAGTTATTTCCCCTTGGCAAACGACACTTAAAACCAATGTAAATTTAGGTAAAAATATGCAATAATAGCCCTCACAGCGTTTGTCACACGGTAGAAATAGGATGATAAATACAGCAACATTGGTCCTAAATTACATGTAAAATAATTGTTTTACCTGAATCTAAAATCTTAGTACTATTCTTATAATCTCAGTATATTTTTCTCAAATATTTTGGCTCACCTGAAGACATGCAACTTTAAAGGTAACTGCTTTAATACAAACTGAAATACTGTGAAGAACACTTCTAAGGGTAAAATTGAGCACGCTTGAGGTTCACATGTAGGGCACACCAAGTGCACTTTGTGTAACCTTTAGTGTGAACTAAACTGTTTAAAGACATTTATCAAAAGATATTTCGAACTTATTCATTTCGATTTCAAGATTGTTTTTACTTATATCCGCAATAATCTAATTTATGTCAAGCTTTTTTGTGTGATACTATTATACCTTCTTTTAATGTTAGTCCTTCATATTTTGTTTTGAAAAACATCTATTCAGGACAAAATTGTTCAGCATAACTCAACATTGGTTACCAAAGGGCTTGCATATTTAGAGGAAAAGTGGAAAACAAAGCGTCTGGCGATCCCTGAGCACATGGAGGCACCTTGTCTACGTATACTACATCTGCCATTTATACCTGGATTTTCTGACCGTTTGGTACGCATATCAGCTATCACTATCTGGTTTATTTTCTTTCTCGGTACAAATTTTGAAACTTGAAACACACATAAAAGAAAGACAATACTTATTAGTGATTTGTTATTTTATTGTTGTTGTTACGTCGGTGTAGTTGTACAAATAAGTTCATACATATAGAGACACTTTCATTTAGTAAACCAATATGTTACTTTAAAGAAGAACTGTTGGTGATTTGGATAGATCTGAACTATTAAAGTGAGTTCACAAGCCTAAAATCATGAGAGAGGTTCATCATTTTCAGGTCAAATTTTAAAATAAGTACTTAATGAATAGCGACCAGTGCAGACCGTGCTCAGACAGCATGGATTTGTCGGCTGATCTTAGCTTGCAGTCTGTACGTAGGCTGTTCACATTTCAGATGCCACCGACAAGATAGGGGTTAAATGTTGTCACTCCCGGTTCTCTTTTTAAAATATTAACGAGAGGTGCAGACAAATATCAACCATGCTAACACCCAGGACGGTTCAGGTAAATTATCTTTGCATCTTTTATTTCAGGGTGATGAATGTACAGATGTATTTAAAGGAAAGGTAAATTTAGAACTTCAGAAGCTGATTCTGGATCAGTTTGATGTACAGATCGCGGTTGTAATCATAGAAGGGCACTTAATGATCAGAGTAGCAGCACAGGTTTACAATACCATGGAAGATTTCATAAAATTAGGCGAAGCTGTTTTAGTACTTTCTAAACAGAAGAAATAAATTTTCATTTTTTAAAATTTATTTTTTAAATCTATTTATTTTCGGTGGGATAAACTTTATTTAGAAACTAACTAAAGTGTTGTTATCCCTGAAGCACGAAGTAATAAAACATAATGTATATATCTGTCTTTCCATTTTATATTGGCACCCCACCGCCAGAAAAAAAGACGGATTAAAAAAGGAAACTACAAATCAAGAGCCACCGTCGGACGGGGGCAATACTTTTTCTTAAAGCAAACAAATAAAAATGGTTGGTACAAATCTTTAAAAATAGAAAATTAAAGAAAAAAAGTTATTCCTTTTTTAATTTAAAAGGTCTTTCTAGTCACACATGTTTTGTTTTTTTGTCTAAGTTTGAATCATTTGCAACGGAAATGCCGACATGTAACAATACCTTTATTTTTTTTTAAAAGTCGAACTAAAAAGCCTCAGTGCGTCAGTCATTATATGCGTCTGTGACTTCGTCTGCAATACTTATTTTCGTAATCCTAAATATAATTAAAAATTGAGCAGATGAAAAGTCTGACGCAATAGAAGCAATGCATGTAAATCATTTACTTATTTCCGTCATTTTATATACACTCCCGCACCATGAACAATAATTTACAAAATTACAGATAGACAATGCTGTCTGGTGAATACATGTAAAAATACAGTTTATTTAAAGACGTGAGCACCATTCGTTTACTTTAAATTTTACCTCCTCATAAGATTATCTAGACCTTTTCATATATTTGTTATCTCAAATAAAGAATGTATGAAACAGCTTGATACATTGAACTTTTTGTATTGTGTTCGGTATCTGATGAAGTTACAACCGTTTATTGTTCTTTAACGTAAGTAACTACAGCCAGCATCATCAAAACTAACACTTTCCTGGAATATTTGCCGTTTATGTCCTTTAATCGTTTACCTGCTGTACCAGAGAAGAGCCACTCTTTATATGGGAGCTCTTATTTTAGAGGCAGCTGCATTGGTTCTTTCAGAGGAATTCGGAACACCTCGCTATTATATTATGTTAGATAAAAAGGTAGGATCGGAAAGTTACCTTTTTGCGCTTTACACTGACTAAAGGATGGAACATAGTAGAATGTATTCATTTTACTGTGATTTTAAACTTTCGCAATCCAGTGTTGCAGTATTTTAAAGCATTACGAGTGCACTTCTTTACTTCATTCAGGAATACATCGGTGGTAAGGTAAGTAACTCTTGATGAATAATGTATTATTAGTGAATAGTGGTTGTCTCCCCTACATTGCTTTTAGTTATAATACGGCGACGAAAATACGTATTATCACGTGATGAGTGGAAGACTTTGTCCTGGTCAGGAAGCTTTGTCATATAAACAATAAGGTCTGTCCTAGTCACAATAAGTGTAAGGATCTGACATTCTAGCATAAACCTGAAATGTACTTACAACAGAACTTATAATGAAATCCAAGTGACATGGTGAAATCCTATAGCTTCATATATTGTTGACTTCTACAAGATAAAGATTCACTTACCTGATTGATCTGAATGAACACTGTATTAACACTTATTGACTTTGCAATTTAAGCTGATAGGAATGTTCATCTTACCTTATTGTATAGCAGAAAACTTATTTTCTCTTTACATTTTCTGTGTAGCAGACGTCCAATGACAGACATCTTTGAAATCTGTCACTTCATATTTTATATTAAAGATTTCTTATTGTTAATATCAATTTCAGTCAAATTCAATTCAAGAACGTAATTTAGGTAAAGTTTATGATTGATTAAGGTCAAAAATCCTTAAGTATTCACTACATGTTTTTGTATATTAATGATTTTCGTATTTAGATTTTATATGAGATTTCAATATGGTCGCCATTGAAATCCAAGATTTCAGATTCAGAAATCCGGCCGTCTGTCCATTGGAGGATTTCCGGATTTCTGGTGTTTCATTGGTGGATTTCAAACGACGAGCCTTATAAAAGTCGGAATCCAACCAATGTTGTCACTTCGGTCTTGACCTCCAAGTAATGCAAATAAAGTTTACAAACCGTCAAAGTTCAAATACAGTAAACATCTTACAAACGACATTGTTATCCAAACTTGTCAGTTGGTATGTATTTATATCCAGTAATATTAACTCACTAGACACTGTTGTTGCCAAAATACTTGTTATAAACTTAGAAAACTGTAAAAGAATTTTATTTATTTTCCCCATCCTGACATACGTTTACATAAGGTCTGTCCTAGTCACAATTAGGTCTGTCCTAGTCACAATTAGGTCTGTCCTAGTCACAATTAGGTATGTCCTAGTCACAATTAGGTCCGTTCTTGTCACAATTAGGTCTGTCCTAGTCACAATTAGGTCTGTCCTAGTCACAATTAGGTCCGTTCTTGTCACAATTAGGTCTGTCCTAGTCACAATTAGGTCTGTCCTAGTCACAATTAGGTCTGTCCTAGTCACAATTAGGTCCGTTCTTGTCACAATTAGGTCTGTCCTAGTCACAATTAGGTCCGTTCTTGTCACAATTAGGTCTGTCCTAGTCACAATTAGGTCTATCCTAGTCACAATTTGAGGTCCGTCCTTGTCACAATTAGGTCTGTCCTAGTCACAATTAGGTCTGTCCTAGTCACAATTAGGTCTGTCCTAGTCCACAATTAGGTCCGTTCTTGTCACAATTAGGTCTGTCCTAGTCACAATTAGGTCTGTCCTAGTCACAATTAGTCTGTCCTAGTCACAAATAAGGTCCGTTCTTGTCACAATAAGGTCTGTCCTAGTCACAATTAGGTCTGTCCTAGTCACAGTTAGGTCTGTCCTAGTCACAATTAGGTCCGTCTTGTCACAATTAGGTCTGTCCTAGTCACAAAAAGTATGTCCTAGTCACAATAAGGTCTGTCCTAGTCACAATAAGGTCTGTCCTAGTCACAATTAGGTCTGTCCTAGTCACAATTAGGTCTGCCATTGTCACCATTAGGTCTGTCCTAGTTACAATTAGGTTTGAACAAGTCACAATTAGGTCTGTCCTAGTCACAATTAGGTTTGAACAAGTCACAATTAGGTTTGACCAAGTCACAATTAGGTTTGACCAAGTCACAATTACGTTTGACCTAGTCACAGTTACATTTGACCTAGTCACAATTTTGTTTGACCTATTCACAATGACGTTTGACCGAGTCACAATTACGTTTGATCTAAAGTAACAATTACGTTTGACCTAGTCACAATTACGTTTGACGTAGTAAGGTAGTAACAGTTAGGTTCACAGACAGGTTTGTCCTGGTAACAGCTACATGTAAGTGTGCACTGGTGACAGCTAGGTTTGTCCTGGTAACAGCTACATGTAAGTGTGCACTGGCGACAGCTAGGTTTGCCCTGGTGACAGCTACATGTAGGTGTGCACTGGTGACAGGTTTGTCCTGGTAACAGCTACATGAAGGTGTGCACTGGTGACAGCTTGGTTTGCCATGGTAACAATAAGGTTTGAGGCAGAAGTTAATTTATTATGTAAGAAGTTTTCTATATAAGTAATTATAATCTATAATAGAAATATAACTACAAAATATAACAACCAATTAAAACCTTATATCTACCTTTAGAAATATCACAGATATGGGTCAAAGCTATACATATATCTAGTGTGAAAAATGAACCTGTATAGTTTTCAAAATAATCTTATAAAAATGTGAATTTCATTTAAATGATACTGAAAGCAAAATTTGGCGATCAATTAAAAAAACGCTAACAATTAATGTTATTTTGATAAGCATAAACAGAAAGTAAAAGTTTCTAATAACATTCTATTGCTTGAATTTTATTAAATAAAAGGTAAAAACAGATCAACTTTTGTTAAAACAAAACCTTATATAGTCTGTCAGATATCTGTTATTAGAAATGGGACGTTTTTCTTTTACAGTTATAATCGAATTGTTTTTGAGCATTGAATTATGACAGAGCTCCCTCGTCTTAATGTGATAGTTCAAAGAAACCTTTCAATATATACAGACAATTAATAAATGATGAGAGCATGCAATGAGCCAATGATAATTTTGCATTTTTTTAGCAATTTACAAAATAATTATGTACATATATGTAATTAATTAGGCCAAAATATATATGCTTTAGTTAAACAAACTTAGGTCCAAAACTGATAAAAATTGATCAAAAGATAATGAGCAGAACAATCAATTATCCCAAAAATACTGATATTTTTTTGGATGGGTCGGGGTGGGGCTTGGTGGGAGTTAAGGTTAGGTAGAGGGGTCTGAGCCTTACAGTGACTAGAAAAATAAATACAGAACTAAATCCTAAAAAAAACAACTAGAAATGTGCCGTCACGCCACGGATGCCCCCGCGTGCCGCCAAAATTTCAGATGTTACAATATTCAGTTCAAAATTTGTTTGCACACACTATTTTTTTTTCATTTTAAATTCAAAGCCCTTTAAACTATTCAATGTAAACACAAACTATTTTATACAAAGTTTAAGGTACTGAAACTATTCAGTGTTAACCTTTTGTAAATTGCATATTTGTAACCAAAATAATGACTACATACATTTCTACAAAACAATGAGTGCTGAAACTAAAAAGTCAAATTTTTTCCAACATTCAAGAGAGATAACTTTTTCCAAAATCATTGAACCACAACCAAATTTAAACTTGAACTGCTTATTCCTAAGATGTATGTATATATTAAATTTGAGTTGAATGTGTACAATCATTGGGTAAATAATGAACGGAAACTCAACATTTCAAGAGGGATACCTCTGCTAGTTATCATCAAACAATAACCAAATTCAAACTTGAGCAGTGTATACTTATGACATATCCATATGTTAAAATTTGAGTTGAATATGAACAATTGTTGAAGAGATAATGATAGGAAACTGAAAATTCCCCTTTTTCAAAGTGAAAGGGACATAACTCTGCCAAAAATCATCGAACAATGACCAAATTCAAAATTGACGTGCGCTTTTCTTTGACGTATCCATATGTCAAAGTTGAGTTGAATGTGTAATACCGTTGGGAAGATAATGAATGGAATCTGAAAATTTCATATTATTTTCAACGTTAAAGGGGCATAACTTTGCCGAAAATCATCAAACCATGACCAAATTCGAAACTGACCTGCGCATTCCTTTGACGTATTCAAATGTCAAATTTGAGTTGAATTTAAAATACCGTTGGGGAGATAATGAACGGAAACTGAAAATTTTGTATTATTTTCAACGTTAAAGGGGCATAACTTTGCCGAAAATCATCAAACCATGACCAAATTCGAAACTGACCTGCGCATTCCTTTGACGTATTCAAATGTCAAATTTGAGTTGAATTTAAAATACCGTTGGAGAGATAATGAACGGAAACTGAAAATTTTGTATTATTTTCAAAGTGAAAGGGGTATTACTCTGACAAAAATCATCGAACCATGACCAAATTCGAACTTGACCTACGCATTCCTTTTGACGTAACCATATGTGAAATTTGAGTTTAATGTGAAATACTGTTGGGGAGATAATGAATGGAAACTGAAAATTTTGTATGACTTTTAAAGTGAAAGGGGCATTACTCTGGCAAAAATTATCAAATCATGACCTGTATTTTCTTATATTATCTTTTCTGTTATATCCATATGTCAAATTTGAGTTGAATGTGTGCAACCATTACTATGATAATGAACGGAAACTGATGATGACGGAAGGACGGAACGGGGTAACACTATATGCCCTAGCTATTTAATGGCGGGGGTATAAAAAACATAAATCACTTTTAAAGACAATTTATGTCTATCTCTGATGAAAAAAAATTATTACATTTTTTTCCTTTTGAGAATCTGTTTACATCAGAAAATATATATTCGTTTTCTTTCCTCACACACTATTCAAAATACGTTTTCCTTCCGCAACACACTTTTCAAAATACGTTTTTCTCCCATCACACACTTCAAAATAATGCACAAGGTTCAGTCCTCATATACGGTTGTGTATGGCGGGGGTGGGGATGGAGCTTGTACCTCATCGTAACTCTCCGTGTTATCCTCATCAGAAAAACTTGCACGTCTTTTTGACTGCCCTACATCATCAAAATATTTCTGCATTATTGATCCATCTTTAAAATTGTTACAATGGTATTCCAACTTAGACCTGAAAACACCAGCAGACTAGTTCAAATCTGCACTAGTCTCAAATGGCGCGACAGACTTGTCCATAGACTGTGTATGAAAACTACTTCCTGTGTGACTATAATAATCACTATCTGTGAAATTCACAATCCCATCTTTCATAGAGTCTGTTTCAGAATTAGAGGAGTTAGTTGAATCATCAGAGACTTGTGAGTTTCTGAAGGGTTCAAAATTTCGAAACTCAGGGGGCGGTTTCAGCTTAGGAGTTACTCCTAAGCCACAATCCTTTTCACTAGATTCTAGTGCGTTTGAGACAGCTCTTACATTTGTAAAATCCAAAATGTCATTGTCACAAATGTCCTCTTTACTGTTTGCAAATGGGTTACTGTTCACAACAGCTGTCATTTCATAGCTTGTCTGTTTGTAGCGTACAGGGGATCCGAAACCAAAACTATACTTCATGCGATCGTCATGGGACAGTGCCCAGATGCTGGAGAACTAACGAAAGGCTGTCACTAGACATTTCACGATGACCACTATCAGGTGAGTCTGTATCAAACAGAGGTTTCTTATCATCTGTCAAACACAGTTCTTGACTTGTTATCATGTTGTCAGGCAACAATGATCTTGGTAAAAACACAGGTCCACTTTGGGGAGTGGTCATATCTGGCAAAGAACTTCCCTGAAATCATCAAAGAAAATTAATTATTATCAAGTTACAACTTGAAAATAATTCAAAATGTTTGATAAAATTGATTATTTTTTCCCTCATATTTATCCCTTTAAAAGTCATACTTGCCAAGTAAAGGCATGGTGGCACAAGGATGCAAGTTTTAAAAATTGACTACCTGCCTGAATAAAACGAAACTTTGACATATTATGCATGTAATTTCATTATAACATTCCCTCAATTATATGAATTTTTACATGAACGAACATTTAATTATGCCAAAATTGAAAATTATGTTCCAATTGCATAGAATATAAGGATTTTTACGAAACAAAAGCTTTAGTCTAATTTACAACTTATTCTGGTTCAAAACTGACTGTTTAATTTAGCTGTAAATATGGTTTCTTAAGTAATATCTGGAATGAATCTGTGATTGGATTTTCACTTACATGAAGTTAGACTGTGTTTAACATCATTTCAAAATTTAAGATAATATTTATTTACTTGTAACAAAAGGTTATTTCTGTATTAAATTTCCCTATTTGAATAAGCAATTTTACAGCAGTGAATATACTTGACTTAGATGTTTCTTAATCTAAAAAAACTAATCGCCGATCTTTAGTGGTCATACTACATATTTGCTTAACAGTTTGAGTACTAATTTGATTAAAGCAAGGCTTTACGCCGATTTAATTTAGCTGGTCCTTACAAAGATGTAACTTGTCTTTCAACATATTTAACTAAGCTGGTCTAAACAAGGATTAAACTTAGCTGGTCTTTAAACAAATTTACATTGCCTTTCCACAGATTCAACTAAGCTTGTCTTTAAAAAACAGAGATTAACTTGGAAAATATTTACCTGTTCAATCATTTTATTTGTATCATGTGGCCTGCATTTCGAGTGTCTGCAAGCGCGACAATATCTGTTTCATATGGTCCAATAAATCACGGTTCTGTAATAACAGCTGACTGATGTGTACGTGCCTGCAAAGTCAATATTTTACTGTCACAATAAATGATACAGTATAGGTAAACATAAATTATTTTAATGCTAACATTTAAAGGGAAAAAACAATTGAGTCACTTGTATTAGATTTCTACTTAGACTTATTCACATGGATAGTAAGCGCTGCTTATAATGTTAAAATTAATATATTTTTCTACTTCACAATATCTTATATTTAATAAATTTTCAAAATGTTCATGAAAATAAGCATGCTCACAGTTTTAAGATTAAGAATCATCATAATTCATATAATGATCTCTATCATCTAATTAGAAAACTCTATCATCTGACTAAATAATTCAAATTTAAATTGATTAATGACAGAATTCTATAATTTAGACCCCTTCTTTAAAGAGTTACATAGAACTTAACAAAAGCAGTTAAACCTGTGATTCAATCCTTGCAGCTGTTTCAGCAGCTAGCTGTTCTTTAATGAGATGAACCTGTGCTACAGCCACCTGTGTCTGCTGGTGTTCATGTTCTACTTGTTGCCGTAGTAACTTTACTTGATGCTGTTCGCTGACTGACTGATCTGAAGCTATGACATCATCATCTTCGTCATTGAGGGTTGATATTAACATAGCACTGCCAGTCTGACCCTTTAATTACAAGTATGAAAGTATTTACTTGTTACTTGTTCAGTCATATTTCTAAAGACCAATTATGCTCCAGAAATGCTATGTCCTTTATATTCCGCAAACGTTTTATTGGTTGGGTATCTTGTTAGTTTCCAAAACAAGTACTCATTTGCCACATAGGTAAACTATTTATTTGCTTCTTTTGCTGTTTTGGCAATTGGTATAATTATAGTGAATTAGTATTTTGTATGGAAGTCAAAATAATACTTTGTTTACATTACGCCACCTTTTAAACAAATAACTCACGTTCAGCTCTACTTCGTTCTGTTCTTAAACAATAACATGCTCTAAATCCATTGTTAAAACATAATTAAACACAACCATCATGTTTGACATTTCTAAAGAATTAAAACATCTTGATTTCTGAGGCATAATGTGACGTTAAAGACCACCTTGATATATAATATATATATTTTAAAATATTTTATTTTGCTTTCGTTATAATGACTTATTAATTATTTGCCGTAACTGATTTTGAAACATTTATGACAAAAGTTCTTTAATGTTAAAGTGCCAAAATGTTTAAATGTAGATGAGAAGTATAATGTTTTACCATGGGAACATGAAAATACTAGTCTATGAAGTCAACAGCATTCCTACTTTAAATATCTGGTGACATGGAATTACAAGCTACGTTAAAATATTTAATACCACTGAAAGATAGACTTTATCTTTCCTTTTGCACTTAAGATAAATAGTCAAGGGTATTGTCTTATTATAGAGGTCTAGACACTTACGTTTATTTCCTCAGCATTGCATTCTTTATAGGATTATGTCTTTTCCTATTTGTCAACTTAATGGCAAGTTATTATAAGGATATCTCATTGTTATGCTGGACAGTGCTAATGCAATATGCTTTATACCATTACATAGTACAAGAAAATGGACTTTCTTTTTTCAGGCAGAGGAGATTTATCTTCCTACGTAACAAAATGTCAATTATTCTGTCCAAATGCTTGCATGGTTCTCAAGAAATATATAAAGGTTTTACTAAAATTTTGTTAACATGTTTCTGTATAATTATTATAGTGGTTTCTTCTAGGCTTCAATTTCCTGACATAATGAATAAGGGGTTGTTTCTCCCTTTTAAGCTACAAGGCTATTAATTGTATTTATAACGTTTTCTGTAAAATAATTATTCCTGCAATACATTTTATTCAATTTATAACCATTGTACACCATGCACATCATTAAATAGCAACACCCTTGATGAGGCAAAAAATTTAATTTTTACTAAGAGCGGCCGCACTTCAGAGAATAGATTTATTTTAAGGTTTTATTTTGAGAAGTATTGTTACTTACTCTTGTTGTAAAGAGGTTATTGATTTACGAAGGGTTGCTCTGCAGATATTGCCCTGTAGTTCAAATTGTTTTTGGTTTCGAATAATTAATTTTTTTATAAATAAACTTCTTATGACTCTAATTTAAATTTCCCAGTGCAGCTCTTCACTTTTCTATTATTTCTTTGGGTAAATATTATTAAGTACAATGGTTATATATTATACAGCATACTTTTCCTATCATCTTTGAAAAAAAGTACTTCAAGGGTGCATCTATAAATTTGTTAGTTGATGCAATATTAACTGTAAAAATCTTAGAAGGAAATAGAGAGACAAATATCTCAATTATGACAGTGAAGTTTTGAGAAAATTGTATAACAAGCCAGGGGAATCAAACTGTGATAAAATAGAAAAGTAATTCCATTCTTTACCCTTTATATATTCTTAAGTCTCACAAATAGCAAGTTTGTCTTGAAGAAGTGCTTTTATTGATCATGGAAATTGAGGCAGATATAAAATGAGACATCAAGTCGTAAAGTCCGTCACAATTTTACGAAAACCTATCAAAAACTCATGTAAAAGTATCTCCGAACGTTCCAAACAGCTAAAGTATGCAAATCCAATTGATTTTGTGGTAATATTAGAGGGTTGTCAATAAATGGATGATAAATTATATGGACATCTGAGAAAATATAGCGACGCAAGGCAAAATAGCCTCATTGTATTGTTTGTTTCACAAAATCGGAGACACAGTCTTATCAATGCCTAATATTTATACTTGAAATCATTTCTTTATTTCTTCATGTTGACATTATTCAGCAGGAACACTGATTGCTACAGACCCATGACAGTTATATTGACAAAGTTAACAAAAGATTAAAGGGACTCCACTGATGTTTATCAACATGATGGGTTGTGAAATAATTTTCCGAGATTTGTAGGTCTACATTTTACAATGTAGGTCTGGACAAGTACATTGTAACTGAGAATTGCACTATCAAATATTTTTCTTTATAATCCTTTGCTGATTTATTTTGCCGTTTTCAGAACATTGATTGATTTATATAAAAATTTCATATTTTATGTTTTAGCCTTTTAAATTCTAGTGGAACTCCTTAAAAAATCCAGTCTAATTAAATTTTGTGTGTTGCACTGTGTAAATGGTGTATGTGTACTGGTAAATTTACATATACAATTCAAATTGACATTTAGTTTTTTTTCCGGAATTTCTGTGCATAGAAAAATATTCAACATTTTAAAACAATGGAAATAAAGACTATATCAGGTAGAAATGATGTACATGTATAAGGTTTCATTTATAATACAATCATATTTAACATTCTAGCATAAAAAGTATAGGTGAATTATACAATTATCTTTATAGTAAAGTATTATTTACACTTTTCCATTTCTTTAAGAGTTTAAAAAGGAACAGAGAACAGCTGATCAAACTGCTGCTTTTTCAAATGACAAAATGATAAATATTGCAAAATTCATACATGCTACTAAGAGCAATGTTTTACAAATTACAGGATCAGTAACCTTTAAGCTTGTAGAATATTTATTTACTTAAACCCCAACCCACCAAGATCATGTTACAGGAATTGCAGATCAAACAATATGACCAAACTTACAAACCCATTTTTGACTACTAGCCTCTTCTATAAAAAAGAAAATCAGATGATTAAATCTCTTCAGCAGAATAACTTTGATTTATTCATGCATAAAATTTTATCAAGTTCATTATTCAAGCAGCATTTCTCCGTGAAATAAACTTGATAGTCCTTTTCGTAGATTCATTTCTTTTGACGCAGTTAACCAGTAACATTTATTAATGTATACTTTTTTGACACTTTGACTTTTCTATATTCTCCCTAAAATATGAAAAACAAGATCAACAAGGAAGGGAGGCACATTCAATGAACGCATTCCTTAACGACACCAAATAAGTTCAAGTAATTAGAATATTATATATCAGTCTAGCCATGCTTACTAAATGTTTGTGAAAATAAAAAAATAAAAACTATTTTATAGGATTATTGAAACTTTGAATGATCTTTGAATAACAAAACAGCAAACAAGTTTGTGAGTTGTTGCTAACCTCATATTTTATTTACCTGTCCATAAATTTGATATTTATTTTAATTTGCTTATGCTAGCCATTTTGGTGGCATATAATTAAAATGTAGGTTTGTTAGATTTTATTTTAACTTTTGGTTTATGATTTTCATTTTATTCTTGGTGACAATGTAAAATGTTATGGATTTCAATAACTTATTATAGATCCCTTTGAAACACTTTATGTTATGTCAGCGAACATTTCATTAAAATAGTCTTTTTGTCCTAACAATTTGTTCTGGTCCTTCAGAATCAATTTGATTCCAGTACTTTATTTTAGAGGATTGAATACCACTTCCGGTGCTAGGGGGCATGAAAGATGTTGCACTTAACATTTTTTTCTCATGAACTGTTTCATTAGAGTCCGCAACTGTCAACAACTTACTATTTGCTTCAATTCTCCCTCTCCCTTTACAATTTTTTTATGATGGACTATTACTGCTTAAATTTAAGACAAATTTTAAACACATCTTATTTATCTATAAGTGAAAACTATGTTTCTAAATTTTTGGAACATTCCTCCATCATCAAAAGCACTTTTCCTAAAATGGGAAGAAATCTGACACCAGAAATTCTGATTAGTTTCCTTGTCTATTAAACTTTTACCAAATAATTTACTTGTGTTATGATTGATCTCCACTCTAACATTCATTCAATTTTCTGTCACGGTAAACTGCTTACAACATTGGTTAAAACATTGCCCAAGTTATACAAGTCTACAGAAGGCATATTCAATCATTTTAAAACTGCAATCAGATTAAATACTGCAGCAAATTATCATTATTAGTTTAAAGGGAGACACAGGCAAAATTTTCATATCTTAGTTTTGAATTTTTCATTCATTATTCTGTAAATGCCCTCAAAATAAATATATTAGACAGTCAACGGAACAAAACTTTTCTCTATATAAAGAATAAAATGGTGGTTTCCTAACTTGACCCACGCGGGTCAGGTTAGAGCGCTAGTGTTTCAAAATAGTTGTCAAAGTGAACTCTGGAAACGTTTAAAGAACATGTCAAATGAATGACTTTGGCTTGTTTCAATCACACAATATCCAGAATATCTGTTATTGTAACTTCAAGGGTGTGTTCAAGTCACCTGACTTGTTTAAAGCTATTTTGTGATTCTATTGGCGTCTCAATTTTGTTCAACATATATAGATATATTTATGCTTCAAACCCAAAATATAAAGAATTTAAACAAAAATTCATGCTGAAACTTCAAGAAAAATCATTTTATGTTGATTTGAGTACATTAGATCATTTTGATATTTTTGACATTATTTTGCCTGAATATCCCTTTAAAATATGATCAACTTATATCTTACGTATAATGACACGAGACATGACAGACGAATTATTTTTAAATATGCTTAAAGAGACAGATCTGAAATTGTTTCTATTACACTGGAAGTGATGTGTACCTTTTCTTTAGTTTCAGCTGAAAGTGACAATCAGCATCTTTTAAACTGATTTAACTTTGATTTGGTATTAACCATTCCCCTGCTTAATACCTTCAATCGACACTTCTTTTAATTTTGATTTTTGACAATAACAGTTCATCATTTTTAGGGAATATTTCAAAAGATTTACTAAACGAACAGCCTACAGTGCCGGCTATGATCAGTTGGTAGAGATGTGTTGGCAGGTCTTGGTTTGCACTGGAACCATGAGAGAAATCATGTGGCCGCAAGCAGGCAGGAAAGAGATAAGCCACAGGAACATGTGTGTTGTCATTATAGAAATTTAAGTTAATGATCTGGGCATCTGGAGATACCTTTCATATGTCTGATTTGAAGTCAAACTTGTACTTATGACACATAATAAATGCATTTTATGAAATGAAGATTTGTGCATTTGGAATAAAATGGCAAAAAAGTTATGACAAATTCAGAAGGATTTAAATCAATCAGTTATATAATAAATGGTTCATTAAACGTCATGACATATACCCCCTTCTGTTCTTTTTTAATGAAACCAGGAAACCTGTGATCAATTTAGTTATATTCCCATCTGAACAAAATCCTGCATGCATAATTTTGAGATATATTTTTTGTAGGTTGCCATAGTAAAGATAAAATGAATTTGAATTGTAAATTTCTAAAAAAGGAAAAATAGAATCACACAAAGTAAAACAGCACGAGAATACAGGCATGGAAAATAAATATATGACTTGTGAAAATTTTATTTAATTTTGCTATTGGTGACTTAAAAGGAAAATTTAGACCATATTTGATAAAAAAAATGCAATAATTCTGAAAACAAGACTTTGATTATTCTTCTTTGCATCGGTCGAATGTTTCACTATCGCTCACTTTTTTACTGAAGTAACTGGGGTGTATTCAGTGAGCTGCGACTATGATCAACATTTTTTAAATTCTTTATCTATGAGGACTTTCATAGAAACAAATCAAGCATATACAAATCCATATCACCTGAAATGGAAAACAACAACAAAAAAACTAAAACTGAACGTTGTCTCAAATTACTGGATTGTCATTGGTAAGGGTGCACTCTGATCTAGTTTCTGACCAATCAAATACCTGAGATATATGTTTAAGCTGAAACCCCTGATCTTAATTTCTTTATCTTTATAAATTTATTCCCTTTATTTGAAAATTTGCCTTTCCATATTCAAATCATAATAAGTTGATTTCACACAAAGTACAAAACTTTGATTTGAGAATCATCATATCTTTTTTATCATATAAATATTAACATGACAGTCTGCAAAGTATGAACTTTGTAGACTGTTTACTAACAGACACTATCTATCCTCTATAGACAAATTCATTTATTCAGAAGAAATATATAAACAATCATCTACAAAATGGAAAAAAGCTCCCTTTTTTCCCACTCTTGCAGTAACCGCTATGAAACATGTTGTTAGCCGGGAAGGCTGTTATTGCTCAATACACTTGTCTACCTTGGGGAGTAAAGAAGACTATGTATTCATAAGAATTAGAGTGTTGAATATCTGTAAGCATTTATTAAACATGACAGTTGATTAGAGCGGAATTAATGTGTTTTTTTATATATCTTCATGGTAAAAGAACCAGTTTAGTTTAGAGTGAATTGATGAGATAATAATTTTAGGGAAATGTTTTCTTTCATTGTTAAATAGATCAACAAGTGTCCTATTATATGTAAATACAAACATTTCTAACTACATCGTAAATTGTGTAGTTGAATTTTCTACAGTGAATTTCTTTTTGTCAGTTTGGATTTTACGTTCCATAGTTGTATTTACAGATATAAAAAAAACTATTTTCTACCAAACCATCCTAAAATTATAGCCTGCAAGCCCTCATTCAAAATTTTGAATTTCTGAGAACTGAAAATTATTGTTATTGTAAACTGACTTGAGATTTTCAATAAGTTGTGGTTAAAGAAGGCAAATTCTTCAATTGTTTGGTAAAATAAGGTAAAAATATCAGCTTCCTGATAAAAAGAGGCAGATAATAATAAAATTAACATAAAATTGTATATGTAATTTGCATGCGGAATAAATAAATTTCTGTCCTATTTAGCATCTTATACGAGTATAATACAGAATAATCTTAACACTAATATATTTATCAAAATCAGAAAAAAGTATGTAATGCTCTTATAATGCGTCCCAAAGGTCTCCGGGCATATAAATATCTTTTTTTAACTTACTTGTGATGAGACCATTTGATATATTATCTGATGGTTCTGTTTTAGGACAAGTTCATTTGGTGGCATTGGTTGTGGTGTACTCGGGGAACTTTCTCTGTTACTTCTGCTTTATGATGATTTATCTTCTTCATCTTTACCTATAATGATTAACAAAATATTACCTGCAATGACTAACAAAATATTACCTTTAATGACAAAACCAATATTAGCTGAAATGACTAACAAAATATAATATGACCTGTATATTACCTGCATCCAAAAACAAATGTTATGAAATGACTAACAAAACATTACCTGCAATGACCAACAAATGTTACCTGCAATGATTTACAAAATATAAGCTGCAGTGATATACAATATTACCAGCATGATATACACATTAACATTATCTGCCACGATAAACAAAAATAACTTTATCTACACTACATTTCGGTCATTTCTTCATTGTATAATAGTATAATCTAAATTTGCAATTTGATGATAAAATAGAATTAACAGGAAGTTAATTAATTATAGCTTCACGAGAATGACAACCATGCTATTTTGACAAAATACCTTTAGGAATTAATTTAAGATAATGTGTGCTCAATATATTTTATGAAACCCATTAACATATGGTCTTAAAGTAACAAGAACCTTATACATCTTAATAATTATAAACTGTACAAAAGAGCCAACTTTAATGTTATATATTATATATCCACAGACATACGGATCTGCAAATATATTACAGTACCTTTAAACAGAAATACAATTCCCGTTCATTGTGTATGGGTTGTGAACTATAATCAGCAAAAATCTTGCAATCTTTTAAATGCATTCAACCTGCTTAAAAGAGCGATACAGGTTTTAACATTTCTCTCCATTGCGATCTTAACAATGGAAGATTGGTTTAAGCCCAAATTATTTCATGCTATTTACATAGAAACGGAACTGACTGAGCATTGGGATACATTAATGATTAAAAGCATAGACAAAATTACAGACCTATCGTCTATGTTTTCTAATATTTTCTTGTTTAGTTCTGCTTATTTCCCTTTACAGACCACTTTCCAATCTTGTTTTCATCCTGATTATTTAAATAAGCTACAGCTACCCCAATAACATACAGACAGGAAGAACTAATTAAAATGGTTATAATCCAGAACATTTCGCGAGGGCAAATTGGAATGATACATTTACAAAGTATATTGATTATCATATTTAAATTGATTGTCAAGAACGCTCGCAATAAAGAAACATGATGGTATAATCAGCTCTTCCGTTTTCTGATTATCATACTGCAGCTTTTGACAATGAATGGTTTAAGAGCTAACAAACAATACTAAGATGTTCTTCCAAATTTTTACATCCGACAGTTTCAACCAAATGTACGATGGACAAGTGAGATCTTACTATCATATACTGTTTATTTATGTCATCCAAGGACAGGGTAAGATTTCAGCACAGTAAAATGATAAATTATAAAAGTTTCATACATGCCAATTAGACATGTAACATTTTAAATTTATTGACTCTAGTCTTGTCATAGGAGATTTATTTTCATAAATGCTATTTTTATAATGCCTTTATTAACAAGTCAAACCCCTAATCAGAAAGGGCCATGTCATACTAAACAAAACTAAAGTTTACTATTTTGACAATGACTATTGATCATAGTTGCTTTGAAAGTCACCGGTTAATAATGGACAACAATTGTTGCCATTGAAGTCATTGCTACTGTGGAAGATACCGGTTGCCATGAAAAGTTATTGTTTTTTATGGATGTCACTGGTTGCCATCGTTTAAAATTGAAGTCGATACTTTTTTGGAAAGACAATGATTCTGACTTTGAAATCACTGGTTACTATGGAAAGTCAATGGATGCTATGGCAGTTACTTTATGATAAAGAAATTCAATTGCTGCTAGGGAATGTATTGGTCAACAATGTACCCGACAAAATGGTTATTGCAATAGCTTCACTTTCTTTCTTAAAAAAGTGGAGCCTAAAAACCATAATCTCTCGAGGCGGGGCAAATTTTGATCCAATTATAATTTATCATTCAACAAGTTCTATTAGACAATATTACATGTCAAATATCCAGAATCTTGCCGCCTTTTAATTTAGAGAAGAATACTTTTATGTATCAATGTTTTCATAGAAGGAAAACCCATGACCCCCGAGTTGCACCATATTGTCATTATTTACTGTAACTTGGACAGAATTTGTAACAAATCACACACACACACACACACACACACACACACACACACAAAAACACACACACACTATACGAAAGTCATGCCAAATGCCTCAGCTTAAGTCAATGTGATTTTCGAGAAATTCTTTTTTTCGTGTTAACAAAATTTCAAGTAACATAATCCTGTTTTTAGGTATTGCGAACGGACAAATTGTCACCTCTTGTATAGGATCTACGAGCATATACAACAAAAATGCATAAGTGTATTTTTATGATAAATTAACCTAGATAAAAAAGATAATTAAGTTTTCAATCAACTATACTTGGTAAGCAAATCAAGACTTTGTCACTCGGGACATACAAACTTAGCAATAGCCATAAGAAATTTGTCTTCTCAAAACTGTTTGCCCATTAAGACTGATTACAAAACATTCATGCGAACTGACATGGAAAATATTTGCCATTCATATAGGATGTTTCCGATGTAATTAATTATCAACAAGCGTAAGCTTACTGAAAGTAAGTACTCAATAACCACCATAACCCAAATCATGACGATAAGATATAAGTGATTTGTTCGATATCTTTGAAATCGTATTTTGAAGAAAAGCACAAAAACGTTACCATTTTACTGTAAATTTATTTTATTTCGTTGGCATGACATTGTGTGGTTTTGTCAAAATAGACACTTTTGTGGAGTCTTTAATTCGAGAATTGACTGTTTTTACAATAAAGTATAAAGCAAATCATGTACAAAAACCACGAAAAGTTGTCCCCCAAGAATAATGACTTTGCAATTACTTTAATTGTTTAAGACCATTTAGTAAACTTATGAATACACTTCTTCCATAATAGTTTAAACAATGTAAGTCGTTTTGTATTCAATAAGCCAAATATCCATATCATGACGAGAAACTTAAAGCAATCCTTTCAATATCATTTAATACATTAGCTGAGATTACAGACTACAAATTGTTCTGGTCATGGTTAGTAAAGGATTTAAATATTTTTGTTTATGTTGAGGAACAAAATATATGAAATCTATAAATATTCGACAATTCGTAATCGCACGAAATTTAAACTGATATCATCACTTATAATATTTACTAATAATTTTAGAAAAATGTTATAAGAAAGTAACAGAGAAAGTAGAACACAGAAAAAAACATAGAAGGTGTATTTGTTCCATATTCATTCGGTTGTAATACATGCTCACGCAAACGTGTTACTTATATCTTCAATTTTTTTGAAGGACATAAACAACTTCACGATACTCTTAAGCTTTATCCATGACCTTTAATTAGAACGAATTCATTCACGCAACTTAATAACTTAATGGAGCAATAAATGCCTTACAATTAAGTTCCACGGCGATTTGGACATTAGAAGATTAGTTGTAGCCCTAATGACTTAATGCTATTTACATATCAATAGGAAGTCTTGAGACGCATTTATGTGCGTAGGAGGTAGAAAAACAGATTTGTCATCTCAGTTCTTTATTATATACTCAGTGAATTTCTGTTCATTTCCCTATCCAGGACACTTTCCAACATTTGAAAAAAATTCGGCACAACAGCTAATTTTCCGAAGTCGTAAATGTAAAACAAAATGACTTAGTTTACAATATTTCCCTTTTTTGTCTCTTAATAAAGGTTTGCATGCCAAATATTAAACTAAATACTAAACAACTCATTTAAATTGAACAAATTAGTATGTTCATGTTTTTGATTCCCATAATAAAAAACAATCCTAATACAGTCGCGTTTTTATGGCACAATTTCTTCTGCACTTTTAAATAACAACAATGTTTTGTCCGTAGACTGTTTGTTATTCACCTTGATTTCCGCCAGTATTAGCATGACAAGTAAATTAACTGACTATTAACAATCGTTTTCCTTCATATCAGAAATAAAGAACAATATTAAAATACATTATACAGAGATACTGCTTAATGTTATATCTGGCTAAATGTACCAATAATTATTTTATGACTCTGTATGAAAGTTTGCTATTGACATTTGAGTGAATTTGTAAGTAAAGATAACTTCAAACAACTTACATTCTTTAGGGATCCTATTTCTCTCTATTTTACTAAACCGGACAAAATTTCCGAATGCGTTATGCCATTACATACAATTTGTATCATTTCTTTATTCAATCAACAATTAAAAAAGAAAGACGGACGATATTTCTGTCTGGAAAACAGGTGTTATAACGAGTATATATAAAAACGGAAATAAAATGAAACAAAGAATTGTTCTATTAAAACGCAGGGATATTCATATAACATTAGCGTATTTTCATTGTCACATAATTATCATGCAGTCTAATATTAAAGTGATATAATATGCTCTATTTATCGCTGTTCAGCTCAACTAAATTAGTAATATATTTCAAAATATTCTTTTTATAAAATGATTGACAAGTAATTGATAACAAAAAATATAACAAGGCATTCTGAAGGACAGTTTAATGAACATAAATGTGTACTTCTTGACCAGACATACCAGCCAAGACCTTGATCTTATCCCATGCACATCATAAGCACATAGTCTTATGATGGTGATTATTTGTACCATGTTTTTTTAAAATCTTCTATAAAGTAAAAAAAAGTTTATAATGGAGAACTGGGTGTTGAGCTCTGCAAATTGTGTCATGGCGGTGACAATTTGTGCCAAATAATTTAAAAACCTTTGAATTGTCGATTAATTATAGTGTGGACATGCAAGTAGATGTTTTAACATTGGACCTTTGAGTGTGACCCTCCTGACCTTCAAGGTTTTGACTTGATTATTGTGTTCTGCTAATAGTGTCATAATAGTGATCATTTCTGTCAATTTATCTTATAAATATTGCAGCGGTTTAAATGTTATGGACAGACACGAAATGTAGACTTTCTAAGATTTGACCTGTAAATGTGACCTTGATCTTGGGTGTAGCAATTCAATCACTGTGCTTTGCACATCGTCTCATAATG